CATGCTGGCTGGGGAATTCTGGGAGCTGAAGTCCACCCATCTTAACGTGGCCAAGGTTGAGAAACGCTGATCCACACTCTGGAAAACAAGAGTGACCACAGGGCCTCGCCCACACAAGGACCCACAAGAGTCACTTTTATGTGAGACGGGCGGCTATATAAATACGACAGATAAATAAAATAAATAAATAACTACCCAGCGGTGTCAGAACTGCAGCTATCCACAGTGATCCCATTTGCACCACAAGCTAAACCCATCAGGGCACATGACACCCATTAAAAAAAAAAACAGGCTAAGCTTTGGTCGTACCGCCATCTTGACTTCTTGGACCATCCCCTGCGGACCCCCTCGCAGCCCCCTCCCGACATCTACGCCGGCCGGAAAGGAAGTGCTTCCCAACCGTGTTCTCTGGAGCTTTCGCCAGATGTGGAGGTGTGAATGCTTTCAGGACGTGGAGGGTGTTTTCTCCCCCCCCCCCCCTCGGTCACGGGGCAAGCAGGCGGTCAGAGAACGTGACTTGAGGCAACTCTGCATGGCCAGGCTGGTGTCAGCGGGAAGGAGTTGCCCGAAGAAGCCGCTGCCCCAGTTCCAAGCTTCGGCAACCAGGCTGGTCAGCTGTTCTGCCCGGCCCCAGACCGCCCGCCCCCCGCCAGTCACTTTCCTTCCCACGGGCAGGCCTCTGAGGACACGTGCTTTCCGTGGGCATGAGTAACAGAAACTTGCAGATGGGAAGTAACTTTTCCCCCTTCTTTTTAAGTCAGTTTTGACTCCTGGCGACTGCCTGGAGAGGTCAGTGCACTTTTCTAGGCTGAGAGAGGGGGACTGACCCACAGCCACCCACCCTCCTTAGCGTTCGCCTGATCCACCCCCTGCCCAGCCCTGGAGCTGCTCTCCCGTCTGTTTCACCAGCGCGCCACGCCAGTTCATTCCTTCCCCTTTCTGGCTGAGATGGCAGGAGGAAAGGGCCAAACTGGGGGGAATTTCCCCCCAGCGCTCAGCTCAGCCTAAAGCAGTGCTTCTCAACCTCAGCCACTTTAAGATGAGCGGGCTGCCATCGACGCATTCCAAAGAGCTTTTTCCTGGGACCGAATAGCTGCTGGGGGAGCCTACAAAAGGCAAGCTTCCTCACACAGGTGCCAACAGGTGCACTGAGCATGCCCATAAGTCCTGTGAACCACCTTTTCTGCTTTGGATCCTAAGCTGCATATCTCTGGAGCAGTGTTTCTCAACCTCGGGACCTTTAAGATGGGTGGACTTCAACTCCCAGAATTCGCCAGCCA